ATCACAGGTTGCGATGAAGATGTTTTTTCAGTTGTTTCATAACTTCATTATCAACGCCAGAAAAAAATCAAATTGAAAATCAGGAAAGTTTTTTAGAAATATCTCAAAATCAAAAAGTCATATCAGAGATTTTTTAAAATTGTTTTGTTGGTCTCAGCAGCATTGATAAAATTCCAAAGTTTAATTTTGAATGTGTGGGAATATAATGTTATCGTGGATTGTTAATTTAATGGATTTATGAGGATAGTTTTTCGCAATTAACATTAAGTAAACTTTACCTACCTCTAAGGGAAATGAACTATGCAGTTTAGGATTTTTGAACACTAAAGATATTAATGTCATGCTGTATTCCTTTCAGTCTATTCATTCCTTTCACGTCGTTTCAATGCAGTCGTGTTATTTGTAAAGAGACATTCAATGCTACATCAAATTAACGGTTTATTGACGGAAAATAATGATCGCGTTGGTTAAGAATTGAGTAAATTTGTAACGAGACAAAGTGAATGTGCATTTGGAGAGGCGTTACTATTATAGCCTTTGACATTGAACGTATCGTATATAATTTTTGCTGTGAATTCTTGAAACTATGAATTCATTCGATAATGAAGGTAACAGATATATTTTTTCTGTGACGGGAAAAAAGTTTGGCATTTCATCTCTGTTGGCAGATTATAAAATGTCACTTTTCATAAATTACTTTTTTCCCGTGGGAAAAAACGTGACTACTTTTTTCCCGGATATATATCACAAATTTAAACACTGTTGATGGGTTTTGTTGTGCTATAGTTCCGAAAAATGAGTCAATAATACCGTCTCCGAGAAGGAACTGCAAGTCCTTTTATCTTCCATTCGACTTCGCGGTTACGTATATCACTAAGCAATTTTTTGAAATCAAATCACAGAATTAGACTGCCAGAACTGACATCATATATTTGATTAGGTACTTCAAAAGAATGATAAAGATGCCTACAACGCAGGTGTCCCTACTGTTAAAAACTTAAAATTTCCCGTCGATAAAATTCAGATTTCAAAATAATGTAATATCTTCTCAATATTGATTCGTCCTTTCTTCTGACACAGAAAAAAATAGTGTATTATACACAGGAAAATATTAGATTTTAGCTCACAACACAACCTGCAGCTAAAATCTGCTATTTTTTCCCTTGTATAATAATAGTAGATTGTTTTATTAGAATCAAAAGTGACACTTTGTTTGACAAGCGAATTTTGCAATTTGCGAGGCGGAACGTTTAGCGAAGCCGAGCGAAAGCAAAATTTGCGAAACGAACAAAGTCACTTTTGATCCGAATGAAACATGCTATTTTTTCTGCAACCGAAACAACTCAAATAAACATGTGAAGTAACCACCAATGCCGTGTCATATGTATGCAATGCAACAAATATTGACAAATAATCCATGTGGTGAGAATATTCTACCTGCATTAACAGCAGCTTAGGTTTTCTAGGATGTTCGAATTGTAGTTTCAATATAAATACAACAACAGAGTGACATATTTGTGTATGGACCAGGTGCTCTAATGGCAAATACCGCGCCAGTGCCAGCTATAGGAACAAGACGTGGAAAATGTTAGGTTAGTGAGCATATCAACAATGATAATAGTGATTATTTATTCCTCTCCATACTACACTGTGTTTGACTTGATAATCAAATGAAGCTAAACAATATCGTTGTTTGAGACAAAGAAACTATTGCTTGCCGTGATTATTCAATCAATCAATCAAACAAGTTATCCATCCCGAGAATAACGAATGAAATACAGATCAAGCAAGTATTTGAATCTTGAAGGCTTCTCTGATCAAAACAAAAATACTTAACTTAGATGTTTATAATTCCAATACTAAACTATAATAAGGTGTATTTATATCTCCAGCATGGGTATGAAATGCCAAATCTGCTGAAATCGGAAACAAATTAGGTATGCGTCTCAACCCAAATAACCAACCGTCACAATGTTGTTTATTCTTGATGACGTCCAGTAGATCCTTTTTAGTTCCTAGGAGCTAAAGTTCAACTTCAGCTCCTAGGAACTCAAATTTCATCTTTAGCTCCTAGAAACTAAATATGTTGCCTAGCAACGTACCTATATTTTTGTGTCAGTAATAGAAACGTCAATTTAAGAGCTAATTTTGGTATGAAAATGGACGACTTTTGTGTCAGTTGCAGAAAAATAACTATTTTTGTAAAAATCACACAGTATCTCGACGACGAAGGCATTGAGATCATATTCGTAGGAATGTTTCATGATCGTATAAGAGATAAGAGGACCCTGTATATTCTATGAGATATGTCGTGGGAGACACGTTCTACTTTCATTTGCACTGGACCATAACGAAGTCGCTTTTTTTAGGAAAAAAATTCAACCAAACAGATTCATCAACGTTACAGCATCGGCAGTAAATAGAACGTCGAATGCTTGTAAACATTCACTTATCTGAGGGCATAGAAATATTGAACCGACATTGTGAGAAATTTACATAATCGTATCAAAATATGATTAAACTGTATACAGGGTGACATAGAAAAAAGTACATAGCATAGTGCCACACAATAGAGGACACTAAAATAAGGAAAAAAGTTCCTATGAACATGGGTCCGCAAGGCCTTCGGTTGAGCGATACGGGGTGTCAAATTTTAATGGAAAAATGTATTGAAGTAAAAGGTCAACAATTTGAACATCTTCTAAAAACTTATTGTTTTGTTCTAATTAATCATATTTTTCATCATACCATTAAAATGTAATTGTTGAAGTATTTATCATTGTTTTTGCAAAAGTTACTTTGGCGCTTTTTGAATAATTTGCGTGCATTGTCGGCTTTTAGATGCATTTGTACTGGAACCATTGCTTCTAGCGACTTGGACAAAGTATACCTTTCTTAAGTATAAAAGAAGGGATAACAAATTTTTTCCGTCGAAAATGACATGCAGTGTATAGCAAAAAAGTTACGACCGATTCAATAGGGATGGAACCCTGTATGTACCTATAGCGCCCTCCAACAGTCATCACAAAACTAAGATTATATTTGAATTTAGCATGATAAAAAACCCCTGTATACCACATTTTATCCATTTCTTGCGTCTCTGATGGCTAAATATATTCAAAGAATACCCCAAAAAAAATTTTAATTCTACACCCCGTATCTTTTAACCGAAGGCCTTGCGGACCCATGTTCATAGGAACTTTTTCCCTTATTTTAGTATCCTCTATTGTGTGATACTATGCAATTTACTTTTTTCTATGTCACCCTGTATATACCGATATAAGGGGCATGGTGAATAGTCAACATTGTTTTATTTCAATGCTTACAAATTATGTAAAACAGAGTGAAACAGTGCCGGATTTATACTCACTTACGCCGGGGGCTAACTATTATGATGCCGCCGCGCCGCCACCAAATAATTCAAAATTCAAAGTACCCGTTCACCGAATGTAAAAAATATAAAACTGTAAAATTTTCCTTCTTTCTTCTTCAGAACGTGAAGTTCCCGGATACGGTTCTGTCGGTTCTCATTCTATCTCATATTTGAACTGAGAAAGAAATGAATGTATTTTAGTGCCTCTCTTGACAACTTCATCCAACTTCATTAGTTTATTTCATCTTCTGCCGTTTCCAGAATGCACCACTTTCTTTTTTACTCATATTTTTGAATCCCAGTTTCAATATTTACCATTACCAACTACAACCTATTGAGTACTGAATTTTGGTTTTGTTATTTGTTATTGTTATCGAGTTAGATGAATCACGAAATTACCCCTACTGAGTAGAATATGGTTTTTTCATCATCATCAAATGAAAGTATGTACCGCAGCCGCTTTTTGTATAAAAGCACAGCTAACGCTTGATTAGTGAATGTTACGATTTTCACAAAAACAGTATCCCAACCTCCGAACAACAAACTCCCTGTATGATCGAAGTCCCAATTCTATTCATGCGGTGCCGACTGCCGGCGGTCGCTAATTGCGCGTTTGCTTCAAAAGGCGACGAGTCAAGAGGCGTCATTTAAAAGGCAAGAAACAATATTATACTTGTCGCCTCGTCGGCGATGAGTATATTGCTGCTTGTTTTCTTTCTTTTTTCCTACCGCCTCTTAAAATTCACCGCCGGGGGCTGATAGTCCCATAGCCCCCCCCTAAATCCGGCACTGGAGTGAAAACATGTTTGCGTCTATAGGGTTTTTCAATTTTCATTTTGGTAATTGGTAAAGTGACAGAAACAAAATAGAAATTCTCAAACAAGGGAGAATAAATAACCAAACCAGGTTTACTCATTATATTGAATAATTTTTGAAGAAATAATTCAAATATTTTTACAAATTGTTCACATTTTTTGTAAAATACTTCGATAGCATAGTTTGTGTTCAATTATTAGTAGACAAAAGTTTAGGTTTAACTTATAGTTGATTTAGTTATAAACTATTTTAGTCTGAATTCTTTCATAGTTATTGTGAGCATATTTAAAAAAAAAATTCTGATAGTAGTGATAATTTATAATTGTAATACTGATGTCTGTAGGTTAATTGAGGAGGTGGTACATCCATTTTTCCAGATTTTTTGGGATTTTCTCTCGTCTATAAAAAAATATTAATACTATTTCAATATACGTGTAGTTAGGACAAATCCTAAATTTTCTAAATTTTCCTATCAGAGAGCCTGAAAGAAAAATTCACTAGCCTGTCAGTGACAATTTGTATTGAAAAAGGTTTGGAGAAGAGAAATAAAGGTACCTATATAGAAAAAATATCGAATTTTTACTTATCTTTGGACGTTTCGGGAACTAATCTGCTCCCGTTTTCAACATAAAAAATGATTTTTTTGTATTGCAAATTCGTATTTGTCACTGAGAACTGAAAAGTGCCAGAAAAAATACTGAAGTGATTTCAATTAAATTTTCAAGAGAGTAGCCCTTCCAAGTATGAAAATGCAAAAAATCACCTCAAACAAAATGAGAACTTACATGAATACATAAATATACATATCTACCTATAGAAGTCTAACATAACATATCAACTAGAAAAGTAGGCATCGATTGGAATATATGACACATCATAACGAATGATACACACAAAAAAATATCTGTGCCGAAACCGAACTGTATCGAAAACTTGGATCGACAAATCTCTAGTTCGAATTCAGTGTTCACAAGAAAATAAAAAAAAAAACACTTTACAATCCATCGCACTAGTTCGAAAAACAAACATCAACACGTGATAATTCGAGGTACTGATTTGTCTGGTAATCACGTTATTTGTCCGTGGAAATCGGTCTAAACATTTCGAATACAATGATATACCTAGGTAAATAGTTCTCGTGCCATTCCATCAAATCCAGCGATCATGACTTGGGGCACATACTTGCACAGATTGTAGATAGTTTGAAACTCCTATATACATGCATATACAGGCTGACTGAAAAATAACGCTCCAAGCTAGTGAATGTAATTTTTCTTCTTGTCACTTTTTTCCATTTCTGCTGTTTTGTTCCCTCATTTTCTTGGTTTCGTCTTTTTAGTCTTCTTCATCTTCTTATCCTCCTTTCCGCTTTTCTTCTTCTTGAACCTCCTTTTCAAAATCCATCCAAAGCTTCGTGTGCTATCGGTACTCATGGTGTTTTTTTAATCATCCAGTGTTTTTCAATCTTACTGATTTCGCAACCCCCTTACAGGTTGAAACATTTTGGCGACCCCCTTGTCAGGCAGACTAAGAATTTGTAATTGAAAAGAATGTACTGATTACGAAAATAATAATATTTTCTATGTTGTGGATTTACCAACACACTTTTATTATTTTATTTTCTACTTCTTTTCAGTTTGGCTATCTATAAAAGGGTGCTTCTTTAGTTTTTCAAACTGCTATTTATTTTCTATTTTTTAGTTCGACTAACTACAGAAACTTTTTTTGTGTTCTTATATTTTTTGTAAGTCCCCAATTTTGACGGAAGAATCATAATCTCCGACCCCGAAACCCCCAGATACTAATTTTTAATAGAATCGGATCATGATTACATACCCTACCGCCATATTGTATCCGCCATATCGAATTCTCCAATTTTGACAAAAGCATCATAATCTCTTACCCCGAAAATCCCCAGATGCCAATTTTGAATAGAATCGGATTATATAATTACAAAACTCGTCCACCATATTGGATCCGCCATCTTGAATTTACCAATTTTGATGAAAAAGCATCATAATCTCCTACCCCGAAAATCCCCAGATGCCAACTTTGAATAGAATCGGATTATATAATTACAAAACTCGTCCACCATATTGGATCCGCCATCTTGAATTTACCAATTTTGATGAAAGAATCATGATCTCCGACCTCGAAAACCCCCAGATACCAATTTTGAATCAAATTTGAATCGGCTCATAATTACAAAACTCGTCCGCCATTATGGAGGCGTTATTTCGTTTTTTTGTCTAGCGAAAATTTCTTGATGCATTGCCTCCAGAACTATGTACACCTGCTAAATTTCAAATCAAACGGTCCGTTTAAAGTGGGTTAAAATTGAGTCCAAAGGAGTCGATTACATATACACGGTGTATATTTGAAAACTTTCAATGCGAATATCTCGCGAAATAAAAAAGTTAGAAAAACGCCGCTTGGCAAAAATGCTAAAGAGTTAAGGGGAACTAAAACCACCATATTTCAGTGAAGGGATGAGTCACCCTGTCAGCGCAACACACCCCAACTTTGAAATGTCAAATGGCACTACCTCTTTTGTGATACCTCAAATGAACGGTCTCAGTCAGTAGTATTCACCTGTACAAGACTTTTTTTCCACCCACTACAGGGTGTACGAAAAACATCAATTCGAGGGTCTAAATTTGAAAACTTTCAATATGAATATTTCGCTAAATAAAACAGTTAGGAAAACGCCGTTTGGCACAAATGCTACAGAGTTAGGGAGAACTAGAACCACCATACTTCAGTAAAGGGATGAGTCACCCCGTCGGCGCGACACACTCCATCTTTGAAATGTCAAATGGCACTACCTCTTTTGTGATACCTCAAATGAACGGTCTCAGTCAGTAGTATTTACCTGTACAAGACTTATTTTCCACCCACTACAGGGTGAACGGAAAACATAAAGTCGAATAAAATAAAATGCAGAATGCCGATATATTCCAAGAGATGTGTTCCAAAATGTTGGAATGGCATTTGAACATCGATTATACTATTGCTTAGAACAGAATGGAATGCATTTTGAACATCTGATCAAATAAAATATCCTTTTAACACAATTCATTTTATTTTATTCGACTTTATATTTTTCGTACACCCTGTAGTGGGTGGAAAAAAAAAAGTTGTACAGGTGAATACTACTGACTGAGACTGTTCATTTGAGGCATCACAAAAAAGGTAGTGCCATTTGACATTTCAAAGTTGGGGTGTGTCGCGCCGACGGGGTGACTCATCCCTTGACCGAAATATGGTGGTTCTAGTTCCCCTTAACTCTTTAGCATTTCTGCCAAACGGCGTTTTCTTAACTTTTTTCTTTCGCGAGATATTCGCATTGAAAGTTTTCGAATTTACACCCTGTACATACATGCATAGGTACATACATCTACAACGGATGAAGCTAATAAAAGAGTATTAAAAAGGTCTTATTTTGATCTGAAAAATAAGGTATTGGAATCTTGATAATGAATTTTGAAACACCATGTATAATAATGATAGAAACCATCATACAAAATTGGCCTTATTCCTGATTATTCTGAACAAATGTGAAATTCATGCCGAGATACAAGTTGGATTTCGGATTTCAATGAAAACCAAACAAACTACTCACAACAAGTATACCGAAACTATACCAAATAATTATTATTTGGGATTAATTAGTCTGCTGAAGAAAGGGTGCATCTAGGAAGAGGAACTTCCACCGTAAATTCGACAATGCAACAAAACACACGATCCTCAATACTGTCGCAGATCGTAGAATATATTACAAAGGTTGGATTAGTTCACGTTCAGCAATATTTCATAGGTAATTCTACTGTTTATAAAATGATGTTCAACATAGAGTTAATTTTTCCCAACAAGGGTTAATTATGACCCATCATTTTTTTATCCCTTGGTGCGCACGAAAGGGAATCCGTATAATGTTCGATGAACTTCATTCGTAGCAAGGGAGGGTAGGAAGAGGAGGTAGTTGTTGGCATTTTTTTAAACTTTTCTTCGTTATCTGATGACTGTCGAAAGGACCCCGCACGAAAACACGGTAAATTGGCTCTCGGTCGAATTGGCTGAAATTTTACTATGTTATTGTGGGATGGCTCATTAGAAAAATATGTGAGTTTGAAAAGTTTTGTATGTTTAGTTTCTGAGATATAAGCCGACAAAGTTCGTAAAAACGTCGTATCGGGGTAGGATTGACGAAGAAAAAAACTGTTTCTTTAGTATAAATAAGACAAAATAAGCTATAAAATGTATTGATCGGAACTCAAATACATGTCTAGTTATGATCACATCAAGTAATTAAACTATAGTAAATCAGGGTGAATACGAGGCACGGTCAAAAAATTCATTTTCCGAAAAAAAAATCGAGAACTATTCCAAAACCAACACGATATATTTTGGTGAATTCGCTAGTGAGTTACCTCAGCTTTCAATCAATCAACAGTATTAATCAATCCCTTTCTTTGTGATCAAAAACAAGCTGTCAATTGTTTTCAAAAAGGGGTATCACACAAAATTATAAAAATTCACATTTCGAACAGAGATAGTTATCAAGAATCAAAATACGTTTTCGAAGCCTACAATAGACTAAAACTATAATATCCCACCAAAATATAACTTGTTGGTTTTGGAAAAGTGCTCGAATTTTTTTTTCCGAAAAATGAGTTTTTTTTCCGAAAAATGAGTTTTTTTACCGTGCCTCGTATACACCCTGATCTACTATAATTCATGTGATTATAACTAGACATGTTTATGAGTTCCGAACAATATATTTTCTAGCTTATTTTGTTTCATTTATACTAAAAAAAATGTTTTTTTCTTTGTCAATCCTACCCCGATACGACGTTTTAACGAACTTTGTCGGCTTATATATCAGAAACTAAACATACAAGACTTTTTAAACTCACATATTTTTCTAATGAACCATCCCACAATAACATAGTAAAATTTCAGCCAATTCGACCGAGAGCCAATTTCGCATGATGCCGAAACGAATCAACTGTTAGCTTTTGTCGTTATCCTCTTTCCTCTCTCTTTTTTGTACATGGTTGATCTCAAATTGATGATAGTAATTTCGTTCAAACTTCGTCACAAATAAGGAAAAAAATTCACAATATTTCCGGAAGTATCATTGATTACCTAACTAGACTATAATGGTCAACCGTGACAGACGGTGTATTTTTTTAAACCAATTGTATGATGAGTACAAATCATCGTTATACGTCTCAAAATTATCAAATCGCTGTCTAAATTGGTCAACAGATGAGCAGGGATACCCTATAATAGGTAATATCAATAATAATATTTGTATTGACATTCAAAATGTAAATAAGAAGTTGTAATTTCACAACGAAATTAGGAAACATAGAACATTTTTAGGTATTGAATGCTTCATTACGGCCCTGGGGAAAGTAAATAAATTAGCTGTTTCGCAATAGTGGTGATACGTTAATTTTATCGCATTTAATGACACGCGTAATGAACTCAGCTCCAGTTTACCTACTATAGATATAGGAACTGTAAATTGAGTAACGTAATGAGTAATGAGCCATAATGGATTTCTACGAAACCATTCTGCATATTTCCAATATGTGAGACCTCATAGGAAACTGATTTCGCTATCTTCACTTATTACAGCAATCCTCAGTCAGAGAGTTCTTAGTGAAGGAAATTCCTTACATGTCCTTATGATTCACTCGTTACTAGTTTCAGCATCTCAGTATACATCAAGGTTGTGTTTTTGGTCCATAATACTTCAATGACATGAAATACTTGTACAAAATATTACCATGCATCATTTTCCCAAAAAGGATATAAAATATTTCATGTTTTGATATAATAGTTCGCATGGTATTGATATGGAGGGAGACACGTCAACGTACGTGCAATATGAAGAATATAACCCTCTAGGGCTAGCTGAAATCAGCCCCAACATGTTTTTGTTTTCAAATGCAACCCTATTGTTTGTGGCCCTCATTGGAAAGCTGGTTGAAACACGAATCCAGCGTACTGATCAAATTCCAGTTTGCAGTTCGTTTGGGAGTCGCATGAAATCAAAATATGATTTTGAAGTTTAATATTTCTTCGAAGTATTCTCATTAAAATTTCGATTTTCAGTGACACTGATATGAGGCA